AAATAAATACAAGAAAACACGAAGAAAGTTAAGAAAAACAATAAGTTTCATTTATTGCGCTTAAGCTGCAAGTAAACAGAACTCATTAGATAAGTTCAAAATGAAGAATAAAACAAAGAAAAATTATAGACATATGAAAAAAAAGGGGGGGGGGAGTAATAAGTAAAAAAATAACAAACAACAGTTTATATTTTTTTACAACAACAGCGGTCTTCCCCGCTTTCTTGTTCCAATGGATCTAAAAAGCAATATCTTTTTTATTGTATTGTCATCACTCATTGGAGTCACGTGGGCCATCCAATTTATTCTATTTATTTTTATGTATTTAATAATATCAGGTTGTTGTCTATTCAAAGCATTTAAAGAGTAAAGTAGATGCGAAATGTGAGTATATTTAAAATACAATGGACTCTTGGTCGATAACACTGATTACAATTCATTAGTATTAATTATTAAAATATAGTGACTGCGGCGTGTGACCGAATACCATGCTCTTCATAAATAGGTAAATCATGCGACTTTTATTTTAGCGAAACATTTTTCAGGCCTTTGAGACGCATTCGCCTGGAAATATATATTATCCATTCTACTTCCTTTTCCTAAGTTCATTTGCTTAAAACAAATTATTTTTAATGTTCAGTATGCATATGACTGCACTATAAATAATACTAAAATTATTATTTTAAGAATTAAAAAATTTTATATATGCATTTTGCATATGTTTTTTTCTATATTAAAACGTCGCATATACTTACAAGTAAAGACAATGTATCAAAATTATTTCAGATTTGTAATCTAAAAACAATTTTGAAATGAGTTATTTCTCTCCTTTTATTTGAACAGACAAGAAGTAATGCAAATTGCATTCCCTTATTGTGAAATAAACTTTATTCCTTTGAGTACTTACTTGACATTTCCTTCTCGTTGCAATGTCACTTAGAGATTTATTTATTTGATCCCATTTCAAGTCATTTAATGATGTTTTACACACGATTTCAATTAAAGCTCTTAAGACGCACCATTTCCTTAAATTATTATATACTATAAGATGCATTGTAAAAATCTTCGGCTCAAACTATGGCATGAAGTACCGGCACTTTGGATTCAACATTCGAAAATTTTTATTCTACCGCAAAATATCTATTTTTATCGTAAAATATTATTAAGTAATTTTTACAATGTTTATTTAATTAGAGTGATTTAGTGATTTTAAGGTAATTATTACTGCAAAAATTATGGTTTATCAGAATTGTTTTCTCAGTAATATGTTTTGGTAAAAATAGATTTACGGTAAAATAAATCTGACACCCTAAATTCTGATACTTTTCACCATAATTGGCAGTAAATAAGAGGTTTCAATTATTTTATTCTCAAATGTATTACCAATGTTCTCAGTACACCTTTTCGCACAACAGGTTCAGTGGGTTTATTTACCGGCTTGCCTCTATAATGTCTATAATATCTCCTATTTATAGGCGTTTTTCAATGAAATAATTTAAAAAGTATTTTTTATTCATCAAACTTTTTCAAGCAAGTTTCCTGTGACAGCGAAGCAGAGTAAGAAGAACATTTTATTCACCAAAAGATTTTATAAATCTGTTGGGACATCATAGTAACAGTTGGGACATCATAGGATATCGGGATCCTTTTTAGCTCTTGCCCTTAGTAGACATGTAAGTCGATAATCACAACTTTGAGCATCAATTATTGCTAGCGTAAAAAGAAGAGAAGCAAATATGATTTTCTTCATTTTCTTTACCATCCTAAAATAATTTTAATCTACAACATACACTGAGTACAATTAAAAAAAATATCTAATTCAATATGCCATTTTGAAATATAAGATCATCTATTATGTGAAACAAGAACTATTGCAATTTTATTTGAGTGGCAAATGTTATTGGAAAAAATGATAAAACTAACAAATTTGTCGTTTACAAGGGTATATTTTAACTTACTTGATATAACCAGTATTTTGTTTCAAATAATTAAATTTGCTACTATTAACTAAATATTAACTACTATCAATAGTTAATTATTCCTTTTAATTTAGAACCCAACCCAGAAGACTAGGGAATCCCGGATTAAGCATTCGATCAAACTAGGCAGTCGGAAATATTTTTGAGTTAACTAACATATATTTGCGTTACATGGAGAGGAAAACCACGAAAAGCTCTCAAGGTTTGCCTGATTGATAGAGTATACCAACCCAAAAACCGCCTATCACTGAGGATGTTTTACATCAGTATTGTGATCAGAGTGATCTAGGAGTAAAATTCGTATCAACCATCCATCGCTGTTATTCGAAGTTTGGTTACCTCATTTTTTTATTTTTCTTTATTTTTATTTTTATTTAAACGACTTAAAACTCCTCATGCACCACAAAGTATAGCATGACGCTTACAGTTGTAAATAGAAAACAAAAGGAAGAAAAATTTACAAATTTACATTAAAAACAAAATTCCGCAAGGCCGCAAGACTTTCAATACTTTTGACCAGTTCTGATAAGACAGGTGGCCAACAAATAGAAAGACGTCTCAAATCAGTCCTTAAATTCATTCGGGCACTCGCATACAGACTACAATGAAAAATAATATGTTCAGCATCTTCATCAGCATCACCGCAAGCACAAATTCCACTGGTCTGCAGATGGAAACGAAATAAATATCTCTTAAAATTCCCATGGCTTGTTGGTTACCTCATTGAGACGCGATTGCTGTATCCATCATCTACCGAGACTCGAGACACGTGTATACGCTATTTTGGCTTATCTTACAATACAATATTGCAAATGTATCTTTTCTGAAATATGCCCGTTCTATCAAAAGTTTGTAATTCAATTCGAGACCAACACGATTACAGCTACTTATCGTTTACATCTACATTTGGTAATTTTTCTATATGTTTATATCTACATTTAGTAATTTTTTTTGTTTATAAGGGTAACGGTTCGCAAAAAAATCTGTTTTCTAAAATTAGAATTCTTAATACCAAACATTTAGTGAAAAATACACAACTTATAAGGTTATTTCACCAAATGATTGGTTTTTAGGCCATGCTCCAAAAACTCATGATAAAACTTCCAAATTTAGTGCATACAGCTTATTTAAGAATCTCTCTTTCTATTTCTTCTCACTTTTTAATTTATTTTTAGTATCCATAGGTTTTAATTTTTAGTATCATGGACCTAAATTATTTTGCTCCAATTTTTTATTTCTTCAGTTTTTTATTTCCTTAAATATTTATAAAAGAATTGTTTAGTGTTGGATAGAATGATCTTTACGCTAATTTTATAAACTTATTTTTTATCAAAAAGTAAAGATTAAAAAGTATTCACAAGAAATTAAGAAGAAACAATAATTTTTACACTACTACTCAATTTCTCATTGTTTTATTCTCCTTAAGGTTTAATGTTATAAAAAACGTTTAATATAGCGCTATAGACAATAAAATGCACAATTTATGTCTTACACTTAGTTATTTTTCTAGAAAAAAAAATTTATAAACTTAGAACAGAGTGTTAAAACAGCTTACTTTTTCCCCTCTTATTTTTTATTGACTTTTCTAGTAAAAGCTCTTTTTTTTAAAAATATTAATCTTAAAAAAAACTGTTTTGTAGGAAATTTTAAATCACTTATTTTCGACGCTACATTTTTTTTCTTGGACTTTATGATTTTTTAAGCATTCAAAAATTAAAAAAAAAAACAACTTTAAACGTTTCACTCACGAAATCCTCATCTCTGTCAGAGGGATTTAGCATTCTATACAAAACTCTCTCAACAAGAGTTCAAAACATAAGAGCAAACAAATCCATACATAAATGAAATAAAGACCTAAAGTAAAAACTGCAGCATAAAAGAGAGCATGTTTCATTGAACTTATTTAATCACACCATTCAATTACAATATTTATTGTACTTTGATTCAATTCGAATAAATTATTACGCAGTATGTCTATATAATTCTTTATTTCTAAAATAAATAAAATATGTATGAAAATATCTCAATCAATTTTCTGTTTTAGAGTTTTGCACTTGTCTGTAAATTCCTGAAAACAGAAAATAAACAATTTCAAAATTATACAAAAATGAAATATAGATTATTTTAACGCAATAAAGTTTTAGTCTTGAAGCTAATTTTCAAAATATGAAGTTCAAAATTAATTCAAACTATTATTTTTTTTTTACCAAAACAAATAAAAACGCGAATTTATCAAGAGAGATTTAGAGGGTCAATATCAGTTAGTCAATTTCTAAAAACATAATTGTTTGTTTTTAACTTCAATAAATAATTTGTAATTATTTCATTACAATACAATGGTTTTTAATATAAATGCCAAAAGTAGTTGCCCAAACGTTAGTTTAAGCTCATTCTGATGAAGATTTGTTAATAATCGGTACATAAAACTTAATTTATTTATAATGATTGAATGGCAAATGTAAGTTTTTAAATGAAATCAATTTTATTTTTCTTCGAGTCTTCAAACTTGAGTTTTTACATTCAACAGCGGTTGATGATCTGAAAAAGTAAAATTTTTAAGTAAAGTATTTTTATTAACGTTTTCAAAATCTGTGTTGGTAAATGAAAGAAAACGTTTCCCACTTTCTATTTCTTTGAGTGCCCAAATTTTAATTAGAGCTTTGTGCCGGAGGTCAGTTTGATTGTTTAATTGTTCATTAAAATAACCATAAATACGAGTAAGATGATAATCAAACTGTTAACTATAAGAAAAACTGTTCATTAAATGATTTCATCTAATGCAGTTAATCAGCCAGAATTTTATCCTACCAATTAAGCCCACCTAATGAAACCTCTTAGTTTCTTGCAGTTGCGTACAGATTATAGCCGAGACACCTAATCTGTTGGTCTTGGGACTGAGAGAACGGGGGTTCGAGTCCACTACAGTATTTCCTCTATTCGCGTCAGCACATGAAGAGTTTCTAGTGTCCTGCACTCTCTAATGCCAATTTCTTTAACGAAAAGCCTAGCTCCAATATCTAGTAAAATTCTTTTTTTACAGTTTTGAAGCCATTTTACATGAAATTGGTTAAAGAACCGTAGAGTTTTTTATTCATAGTTTTAATAGCATACTGGTTGTACACAGTTTCAATACAATCAAGGTAAAAAATGTTTGTTACCATAAATTTTATGGTTAATTGGATGGACAGCCTGCTGCTGATTATCTTACCATAGTATAATAACTGAGAATAAAAGTGCATTATATCATTTGTTAGTATTTTTAGGAAAAACATTTTTAAAATTACCTTCTATTCTCCCCAATGAACTCAATCATTAATGGGTCTAATCATGAGTGGAGGGCATTTTCTGTTAGGACATGATGGACAAATTGGGGTATCTGGACTTCTTTTAGATCTTGCATTTAGGGGACATATAAGGGGTGGACAATGACAGTCCTTCGCATCAACTGTTGCCAAGGTTACAAGAAGTAAGACAATAATAACTTTATACATTTTCTTAGTTTTGCTTTCCTGAAACAAATGTTTTACAAAAAAATTTTTAATCAATATTTTATTCAAAGAATTTAGTGAATTAGCTTGTTAATGACGACACAAAATCCGATTAAATAAAGAAACTATACACTCCTGTTAAAATAATTATGAAAGTTATCTCACTTATTTAAAATTAAATATGTATTAAAAATCCATAAAATATCAAAACATATAGGTGTCAAAAAAGTGCAGAAGCCCTTTAATTAATGATAATTAAAATTATATTTTAAAAAATACTAAATAATTTTAAAACCACTATTTCACTAAAAATTATAGAAACGAGTTCATTGAAAATTTAGATTTTAATATAAAGAAAAGTACAAAGCTCAACCTAAATTATTTACTAATCCAAGACCCTTAAAATTATCTTTTCTTTCAATGAAATTTTAAAATCTCCTTTAAGAAGTTTTATGCAAGAGTTGATAAAACTATACCTCGCATGACTGATAACTTTAAACAAAATCAAACTATTTATCTATTTCAAAATTTTTTTAGAATGAAATCCCCTAAATCATATTAATTCAGAGAGAATAAAAATCTGCTGAAAAACTTAATTCTGATATTAAAACTAATATACAAGGTGTTTACACCATTTATTTGGTAATTTTTCCGTGTTGTTGTTTCTAATCCCCAAGAGGTCCATCCCAATTAGACCAATTCCATAAGTCCAAAAATGTCCAGGAAGTCTAAAAATAGATGAGGTTTTGAAAAAACCTCGTCTATCTTAAAATCGATACAGTTTAGAATATGCTCGGGCGAAGCCTGAGTAGTCCTACATTTAGTGCAAAGTCCAAAAGTCTTTTGCCCCTGAACATACGAGAGACACCTCAAGAGTACGGTGGTCGGTGCGATCCGGGTGCGGTATTCGTATCGACCAGCCATAGCTGGAATTCGAAGCCAGTTAACCTCTGTGTAAGGCGGATGCTCTATTCTCTGAGCTACAAACAGCTCCTGTTACCAGAATTATGGTTTTCTTTGCAATAAATGTCATTGCCATACAGCAGGGTAACTTTGCAAGATTTTTTGCCCGTGTGGTATTGAGTTTTATAGAGCAGCTATATATGCATTAAACTGAATGATAAAATAGAATTAATGATGCAAGATCTTTTTGCCATTTTCATTTAAAATCAAAAATACAGATTCACATTGCATCATTATTTCCGTTTAATTTTGTACTTTTTTCGTTACGAAATTTTGTTAGTTTTTACTTTTGGTTGACTTTTGGTTAGAGTTATCTAGTGTTACGCTCTGCGTGCGTGAATTTTTTGAACCTAATAATGCACGAAATACTTACACATTAAGTATTGACCTTATATTATACTGGCAATATTTCACCGGATCAGTGATTCGTTTAAAATCTGAAATTTGCAATTTTTAAAAAAAATTGCATCCAGTTTAATGGGATCACATTAACCTGGATGCAATTTTTGCTCGAGACACTAAAAGTTTCACTTTGAGGAACTCTGGTATACAAAAGCATAATGGAAAATTATTTGAAAAGAAACCGCTATGAAAAAATTATCCCCTATCTATATTATTCCAAGTATATTATTCAGCAATAAAATTTGTTCAATAGACAAAAACACATCAACGATGGATAATAAATTGCTAAATTAAGAAATTAAAGGTAAAATAACATACTTACGAGTGAAGATGAGAAATCAAAATTATTTAGGAATTATAATTTGCAATATAAAACATACCTTTAAATGTGAAATGATTAGTTTTCTCTTATGCACAACTTGATGTTTGATCAGAGTCAGCAATTTAAATTCCACTCTTTTATTACGAAATAAGACAGATTAAACGTAGGACAAATGTAGAGGACGAATGTAATCATATTTTATATCTTACTAAACAGTCTTGTCATGATATGGATCAAAATTTATACACATGTAGTTGTGCAATTAGAATTTTGAGTTGTTGTAATATAAAACATGACAGTTTTAATTTCCCCTACCTATTATATTTTTACATGAAGTTATCGTATGTATCAGTTATCAGTCACCAGTATTATATATTTTTTATGTTTTCTAGTGTTAGTTTGGAATCATATTTTCTATTTAGAATATGATTTTGAGCTTCAGAGTTTCTATTTAGAGCTTTAATTTTGCCCAATTTCAAAGGTTTCGTTAAAATGTATCCCAAAAAACTTCCGTATTGCTACAACTGTTTCTGTTTTAGAATTTTGTTTCCTGTCTTGAACCTTAGAAGACACTTAACAGTGAAAATAATATCATTTTCCATCCTCCAAATCAAATTCATGGTCATTAAATTGTCAAGTGTTGATAGAACTAGTAAAATTAGGATAAATGTGTTCTCCACAGAACACGATGAGGGATAAAAGAAATGGGGGTCGTAATTAGCAGCTTACATAAAATTAGCAAAAATGGTATAGGATCTTCTTTTCCAAACAGTACAGTTCTACTAGCCACCCAAAAAATGATATTAAAAAAATTCTACTATTATATCAAGATTGAGACTATTATTTAATATATAAGTCCAATGTTCAACCATTCTTGGGTATTATGAATTAAACTCGGATAAAAATGAATGAGTCAAATACAGAACATCATGCTTAATATTGAGAAAGTTTCATTTGCTTCTAAAATTTTCATAAAAGCTTCGAGTGAGAAAAAATAATCATTCATTCTCAAGATTCGCCAGATGTAAAAGAGGAAAGAAAAGAAATTTGGAACAGAGCACGTAATGTTGCCAACAAAAAACGTAAATCAGAAATAGAAAATCTGTGGTGGTAGAAAGAGAAATCAGCATTCATTTGAATGGACTAAGATGCAACAACAGGAGCTGATTTAAAGAGAGAGGGAAATTTTGGCCTTAGGAAAATTGAATTTATGTGCAAGATTCCATCTTATGTGCAGCATTAGAAGATTTCTTACATTCTTAATAATGGGCATATTTATTGTGTTCTTGAAGTCCTGAATTTTAGGAAGAGTTTAATTGATTCGATTTAGCCAAAGTCGCACTGGCAAGGTATGTGGTAAGCGTCCCAATGATTTTCTGTACTGATAGGTTTTTTAACCCTCCGAGTGCTAGTCCTGGCTTTTCCAAACTTTTAGCAGCAAGCTTTTCTGCATCAAAATCGATTTTTCCATGTTATTCGCAGGGAGAGTTGT